GATAGGACATCAGCTCTTGATTTTGAGTCATACTTCGCGCTGAAACATCCGGTTTGCCTTTGATGGCAAGAAATATGTGTTCATGTTTTAAATTCGAAGTATAGTGATTGTACAGTATACCTACCGTAATCACATTCTACTAATCCCATCGAAAACGCCTGTTGACGCTTGACCGCACAATCCCCTCGTCCTACTTTACCTACCGTAACCTAAGCAAAAGGTTTGCGCGAATCTCTAGGGAAAGTTTTGAAGAAATACGGGACTTTTGCCGAATAGCGGAATTTCACATAAAATCATTTCTTTGTCCCGTTTATGAATCATAGCCGAGCGGGCCTTTTTGCACTTATAAATTAATTTCCCAGGAGGTTCTCGCTGAAGCGTCAAAATTGTTCATATTTGTTAGGCAATTTCTGTGAATTTCTAATTTTCCTGCCATTGACGCAGAACAGGAAAATTTCACGACTCGACTTACGTACGCAGAGTGAATAATTTTATGTCGCTACTAATTCTAAAGAAAGCCAAAAATGGTAAAAATTCTTGGTAAAAAAATTTTTTCAAGAGGGTAACATCGACGAGGCAAATGAACAACTTCGAGGAGCAATCAAACGAATTTGGAAACGAACACCGGCCAAAATGCTTGATGAAGTAGTTCCACCAGCAGGAAGTACGTTGAACGTTTTTAAACTTTTTCCTAGAAAATATATGTTTGCCCTTTCAGAAGAAGACGATGTGACTGTGGGAAAATTCTATGCGACATTCCTGATTCAGGATTACTTTCGTCGTTTCAAAAAACGTAAAGAACTCGAGGCGAAAGGAATTATGCCAACGCATACACCACAAGCGATGGCACTTCAGGTGATTTTTTTTGGAAATTTCAATGTTGAAATTTTTTCACAAAGAAGTAAATTTTGGCAGGAATCAAAACTTTTGACAAAACCATCTAGGAACGGGAATTTTTTGGCACAAATCGTAGTAGTCAAACAGCTTTCATCTAAGAAAGGATTGTTTTTGGCAAGGGAAGAATTTTTTTTATTAATTTTTTTATGCCTCAACTGGTTGTTAACGAGATTCATATATTTATCTACATCATATACACAAATGTCAAGTTCTCATGATGGATGTACACTTAGGGCCGCATGCACTAACAGGGGAGCTGGGGAGGG